GCAAGGTTAAAAAGTATATAAATAGCTTATATCTATTATAACATTTTTTTACCTAAAAAAACCAATCACACCAGGCATTCAAGGCAAGGTTAAAAAGTATATACATATATCTAAGCGATTTCGCAAAAAGCGCTAGGTGTTTTCTTGGATTCGGGCTGTAAGCTAGCGACCTTAAACCCAGGGGGGTTCCGTTAAGGCCAGACCGGGCACATGGCCCAGGCACTGGCCTATCTGCTGGTGGTTTGCTGGCCACCAGCTGCCAAAATCAGGGGGGAGGGTAGAGTGTCTTGTACTGACACCCCCAGCTAGCTACACTTTGAGTTTTTAGTGTTAAATAACCATGATATTGATTATGTTTCTGGGTATTTCACTCAGTTTTTAACCTTGTTCAAGGCTTCTGTGTTGACATGGCATCCTGCTGGACTGGTCCATGTCACGTGCATGCGTGAGGGACCAATCTCCCAGCCAGAGGGGGGGGGGGGAGCGCGGTCAGAGGACTTTTAGCCGGTGGGACTGTCTTTGAGTCAATGCGGGCATGTTTTTACGAATTTGGTCAGATATATTTATAGCTTATATCTACAATGAAACTTACTACATTTTTGCTGCCTGGAAAAACAAATCAAACCAAGTCTTCAAGGCTAGCTTAAAAAGTATACATATATAGCCTACATCTAGCTTATTACATTTTGCTGCCTAGAAATACCAACCAAACCGGGTTTCCAAGGCAATTTATTTAAAAAGTAAAATCTCACGCACAAATAAGAAAGACCTGTTAACTGATATTTGGGTAAAAAGCACTCTGTTTCGGACTTAAAACTCGTCACAAGGTTTATGACCAAACACAATACTCTAGTCTACAAAGGTGCTGCACATCACCAAAAAACTTAGTAAAACAACAGCATAAAAAAACCTCTACCTCCTATCAAGCACCAAGTGAGTTGTCTTTTCAGTGCAGAAGAAACCTTACCCTGACATTGGTGATAGAAGTCTTTTGCCTAGAAACACATTCATTAGGGCAAGGCCTCGACCATGGCCATACAACGGCGAAAACGAAGCTTTAATATATTCTACGGTTAGGCCTACCGTCTGCGCTAATCTGTCACGAAAACGGAGCTATTCGAAAATGCTCTTCAAACCGAAGGAACATGAAAACGCCGGCTTTGCGTCTCAGTGTGTACGAAAAACATCATTTAATTTTGAAAACGGGGCTTTTCGTAAACGATGTGATTTTCCTGTTCGAGCTTTTCACAAACACAAATCCAATCCGGTAGCTAATGTGGACTGAAAACATTTGATGCGCTTTCATTTTCATATCTCTTCAGTATCTTGTGGACAGAGCCTAAAGTTATCATTTATGTAAAATGTTGAATGTTTGTTGAATGTTTGTGGTGGTCAATGCGCTTAGCTACAGCTAGCTACAACTACGAAATCAGTCTACTCCACGAGAAACAAAAATATGCATTCCTAACTTGTATTAACAAAATGCGGATAACTTTGAGAACATTAGAATATTGGAACATTTTAAGACGAATTCTTCTAATCCTGATATTTTGCTTTCTCAAGCGATTCAACCGAATATGCTTCAGTGAATTTACTTTTTAGGAAACTTATAGATGGTCATTGCTTACTGAGCCTATGTGCCGTTTTTGCATATATGCAAACTCAATCGATCTGGTTGTCAAAAAAATCTACGGACGATCATGTTCTGCATGCTGTTTGTTCAGTTTTCAATTCACACGGATGCTGATTCAGTAAATACACAGTAGTTTAAGTTCACTCTTTGAGAATCCACTGTGGTGGTAAAAATGTTATGTATATAAGTGAATAAGTAATTATCAAATATTTGAACTAGCTCAGTTAAGGCATTCAACACCTGCCATGGCATGGTTGTCATTAAGAAAACCGCTGAGATTAATAAAGTACAACATACCTGAATAAGGACTGATGTTTTCCTTTCTTCAGTGCCAAATTAAACGTTTAAAGAAAGTAATCTTAAGGTGAGCTATCCTTTTCAATAATAAGCTAAGCTCACCGATCCATAGCTATTAGTAGGTTTTAGTGACGGTTCTCAAATTCATTAATAATTCGTCAAGTTTAAACAAAGAAAATCACCACCGTCAAGGAGGCTATTGGATACCCGGTCTTAATTAGCATAGATTTCGACGATTTTGCTTCTACCTGTACCCCTTAGTTTTTGTTTCGATTGACAACTGAAGATATATCAAACACTCGACACTTACTCAAACCCCTTGAAGCTCGTCAAAAATACTCCGCTTTGCATCGTATTTTCAACTCCTTTCTTGGTGTTTGGTTGTCCCGATGGAAATAAACTGCTTCTCGATCTCGACTCTTCGTGAAGTCGTTGAAATTCTTCTATTTTCTCCCTCGTAACAATCGTTTTCTCATGATCAGGGCCAAGCACGTTTTCCCGAATTTCAAGTCCCTTCTGGAGTTCCTCCAATGCCAATTTCAATTTACCTTGGATCCTGAAAGCATCACCAAGACAAACGTGGGAGCGAGCAGTATCTGAATGGTCCCCCAGCATTTTCGTTTGTATCTCCAGAGCCTTCTCGAGCTTTCTCTTGGCCTTGTCGGCGTAATCTCCCGAATTATTTTCACCGGCGAGGGTTATGTACGAGTAGCCAATCCAGTATAACAGCGTAGCAGCCCAGGGGTGCTCGCCAAGCTCCCTTTCGTAAACTGGCAAAGCTTTGTTTTCCCAGGTCTCGATTGCTTTTAGATGGTCGTTGCAATACCGATAGCTATCTGAAAAAACAAAAAAGAGGAAAAGCGATTAAGTCTACTTTCATTTTTTTCCAAAATGAAACTATCCTGCCACAACCTATATCCAACGAGTGTTGCTGAGGCCTTGATAACCTCGTTATTATGTGAAAACCTGAGTCCAATCTGGTCCAATCCCGGGGGATACTCCCAGAAAAAATTAGGTGGGGGTGTGCGGCCCGTTTCCCAAAATCCTTACCCTTATTTTCTTATTGATAATGATGAAAAAGTAGCTTCTTTACCCCTTTCAAGACGAGTGCAAAAACCATCCCTATTAATGACCAAAATGGCCGAAATCGATACCCTATTTATGACCTACCCAACACTCAGGGAAGTCTAATTCAGAGTGTTCGATCTGTTTAGAAATGAAGGGATCAAAAAACATTATTTCGTTTAGCACTTGACGAAGTTTTTGAGTTTGGGCATACTGTAGAATCCGTGACGGCCATATGGTCTGCAAATAATAGTAGACATCACAGCTGTTTCCGCTCTACGATTATGGTTTGCTTTATTTTCTCATGAATGATTCTCTTGTTATTGATTTCTTTGTTTTAATCAGTAGTGTTTTTAGTTTTTTCAAATATAGTTATTTCGTCACCTACGCAGGTGAGAAATTTTAAAACATGAGCGGTAGGTACCACTCATGTTATGAATTTTATCGCCAGGTAACAAAAAGAACTCCTTGCGATCTTTGACGGTGGTTGACCCCTATTTTTCTTTTAATGGATCATTTTCTCTACCAATTTTCTACGTTTAGCGAAAAAATGGAGAAAATCTATCGATTAGAAGTGCACCATCGAATTCTGACTACCATGGGAAGAAGGAAAACGATAAAGGCCCTGGGGAGAACGTGTAACAAAACAACTGAAACAACACCGCATGCATAATAACCATAACTTCAAGTTCATAGCACAAGTTATGTACCATGACACACCAAAAACATCGCTGAATATTACAAACCAGGAATAAGCTGCAAACTAAAGAGAGCCGAGGAAAGAGCACGCAGAAACGCGATGTTTGTGAGGCAAAGCACGCATAATACAAACATCACTGAATATATTACAAACCAAAAGTACACGTGCAAACTGAAGGCAGCATAGGGAAAAGCATTCCACAAACCTTGCGTTTGGGAGGCAAAGCACGCATAACATGATATATAGATTTAGCCAAGCATAAAACTGAGCTGCCGATTGCAATAAGTTAACCATACAGGTAAAAAAAAAAAGAATTTGTTTTTCTTGGATCAGAAATATAAAAAATGATTAATTGTGGGCATGCATGTAATTGTTCAGCGTGTGGTTAGCAAACTATACCAAATAAGCCTACCCAAATTTTGCAAGGTTGTAGAAATCACGTACGTAATATATCAGGGACTTTCCAAGAGACGATTATGAAAGGAATGTCTCGAAAGAAAAGCCTCGACAACATGCCAGAGGTTAATGGTTAATTCACGCCGAAATTTTCCCTTTGCACGCACCCCGCTCCTTCTCCCCCAGAGTAATAACCTGGCTTGAGCCTGTTATCCAATCGAAAACCAGTACCTGGACAGCCATAAAACCGTACTGTCTAAATTGTTTCTGAGCCCATCCTGTACAGGTCATTAGTAAATATAACATAACATAGCTCAATGAGCCCTTGATTTTATCAGTTTGTGATATACTCACGTCCAAGATCACAGTAACCAGCGGCGACATACAAAGAAACACCTAATCTATCCCGTATGTCTATTCCTTCCTGGAGTAGGTTGCGGCCTTCCTCTTCTTCTCCCTACAACAGAAAAATCATCCTAGATTAAAAGCTCTATAAATGGAAGACACCTGGCCGTTGGGTTAATTTGCGTTCGTTGATGTTGATGACTGGTTCAGAAAATTGGTGGGTTTTTACTTCCTCGTTAAATAAATATGTCTTTTTCTTTTTCTAAGCAATGTACTATATTAAAAATGTAACATGAACAGCGTTGATAGACATGGTAAAACAGTTCATTTTTGCACTAAACTTCGTTATCTGGACAGACGGGTTTCATTTGAAACTTCGTGCTATTACAGGGGCTCAGTCACGGTATTGTGAATTATTTTGGCCACATACAGAATTTCAGAATAAAAACTAGCGGTAAAAAAACGACGTTTCGATCTCTCTGAGATCATTTTCAAGTTGAAGAAAAAACGAATGAAATATACATATATAAGTGCAAATTAGGGCGTGAGAATGTCAAACGATAAAATATGTAAATACAAGCGCTAGAATGTAAGTGTTAAAATAATAAAATACTATTAAAAAAAAACCTATATAAATAACTTTGCACGGATTGAATCTGACTGTTTGAGACAAGGGTGTAGAGAAAACCAACTGACACCGGATTATTACTACATTACAAGAGCCACGTCGACGTTAGATACAAGAAGTCATTGCTAAAAACAATGCTGGATCGTGCCTTTAAACTATCATCTACCTGGCAACTGTTCCACCTGGAATGTAATCGTCTCACACAGACGTTCTCCCAACTTCAGTACCCAGCGCAATTGATACAATCGACCATCAGTAATTTTGTCACCAAGAAAGTTTCTGGCGATCCAATTTCTACTCGAGTACGTAACGTGAATGAAGCGCCTGTCAGAATAGTGTTACCTTTCAAGGATCAGAGATCGGCCAATTCCGCGCGAAGGCAACTTGGGGAACTAGGCCGAA